CCCATCGCGCAGGCCATTGAAAAGAATGAGTTCACCAGAGATATGGGAAGCCAAACAGTTGATGGCTTCCGGTGTTCTGAGAGTAGATGAGCATCCCATCCCATGTATAATGAGGACGGAGATGGAATGCTTTATGAAGAAGAGGGTGCTGAGGAGGAGCTTGAGATAGAAATGAATGAGGACGAACCTGCCTTTTTGCAAGGGCAGACTAGGTATTCAGTGGATCTATCCCCGGTAAAAATATTCAAGAATCTAGAAGGTTCCCTGAGTCGTGCTGCTGCCCTTCAATCTGCATTTATTAAGGAACGGAGAGAAGTCCGGGAGCAGCAGCAGAGAACAATGCTTGATTCAATTCCCAAGGATCTGAATCGTCCCTGGGAAGACCCAATGCCAGAGACTGGTGAGAGGCATCTTGCACAGGAGCTGAGAGGTGTTGGATTGTCAGCATATGATATGCCTGAATGGAAGAAGGATGCTTATGGAAAAGCTTTGAGATCTAAACTTTCCATCCAAGAGCAGAGGCAGAGCTTGCCAATTTATGAACTGAAAAAGGAACTGGTTCAGGCTGTGCATGATAATCAGGTTCTCGTGGTCATTGGTGAGACTGGTTCTGGTAAGACTACCCAGGTAACCCAGTATCTTGCTGAGGCTGGGTACACTACTAGGGGTAAGATTGGGTGTACACAACCTCGAAGAGTGGCTGCAATGTCTGTGGCGAAGAGGGTAGCTGAGGAATTTGGTTGTCGATTGGGGGAGGAAGTTGGCTATGCTATTCGATTTGAAGATTGTACCGGACCAGATACCGTCATAAAATACATGACTGATGGTATGCTTCTTAGGGAAATTCTGATTGACGAGGATCTCTCTCAATACTCGGTCATTATGCTTGATGAAGCTCATGAGCGTACGATTCACACTGATGTTCTGTTTGGGTTACTGAAGCAACTTCTGAGGCGGAGAGCTGATCTTCGTCTGATTGTTACTTCGGCTACATTGGATGCAGAGAAGTTTTCAGGGTATTTCTTTGACTGCAGTATTTTCAGTATTCCTGGGAGAACATTTCCTGTGGAGATACTCTATACAAAACAACCTGAGAGTGACTACCTTGATGCTGCCCTTATAACAGTCCTACAGATACATTTGACTGAACCTGAAGGTGACATTCTCCTCTTCTTGACTGGTCAGGAGGAAATTGATTTTGCATGCCAATCACTTTATGAGAGGATGAAAGGACTAGGTAAAAATGTTCCTGAATTGATCATTTTACCAGTTTATAGTGCCCTCCCTAGTGAGATGCAGTCTAGGATTTTTGATCCTGCCCCTCCTGGGAAAAGGAAGGTCGTAGTGGCAACCAATATTGCGGAGGCTTCCTTGACTATAGATGGAATATTCTATGTTGTTGATCCTGGGTTTGCTAAGCAAAACGTTTATAATCCAAAGCAAGGGCTTGATTCCCTTGTCATATCACCAATTTCACAAGCTTCAGCAAAGCAACGAGCTGGACGTGCTGGGTGTACGGGACCTGGAAAATGCTACTGCTTGTACACGGAGAGTGCATATCGAAATGAGATGTCTCCTACATCAATTCCAGAGATGCAGAGGATTAATCTTGGCATGACAACACTTACAATGAAGGCCATGGGCATAAATGATCTCCTTTCTTTTGATTTTATGGATCCACCTGCCCCACAAGCTCTCCTTTCTGCCATGGAGCAATTATACAGTCTTGGAGCTTTAGATGAGGAGGGGTTTTTAACTAAATTGGGTAGGAAAATGGCAGAATTTCCTCTTGATCCACCACTATCAAAGAATTTACTGGCCAGTGTGGACCTTGGCTGTAGTGATGAGATATTGACAATTATTGCAATGATCCAAACTGGTAACATCTTCTACAGACCAAGGGAAAAGCAAGCTCAAGCTGATCAGAAGAGTGCCAAGTTTTTCCAGCCCGAGGGAGACCATTTGACTCTACTTGCTGTATATGAGGCTTGGAAAGCTAAGAACTTCTCAGGGCCATGGTGTTTTGAAAATTTTGTTCAGTCTTGATCTTTACGGAGGGCACAAGATGTTAGAAAACAACTTCTCAGCATCATGGACAAGTATGTTCATGCTCTTGGTTTTATAATATCTTTTGCTAATTGTCTCTGATCTTTGATAACTTTCTTTATATCTGATCTTTTATGGTTTTAGATTTTAATTGTGTCCTACACTGTTACTTTTAAGATGTATTTGAGCTTACACTTTTTGGTTATCACTAGTAGAATGTATCTTTATGATTATTACTACTGTGATGACCATTAACTGCTTTACAAGTTGAAAAATGCATAATGTTGCTTTAGCTTAATTCGCTGGAACGTTCATCACCAACTTGCTTTCCAAGTTCCTTTCATTTTTAGTGACAGATTAGGGATCGTCAATGTTCATTTAGGAGACTACAAGGCTTATGTTGAATGTCTCTGTTCTCTGGATATGCTTTATTGCTTTTGCATTATTCTGGCTAGTCTCTTGTTAGTAATATCTTCACATGTTCTGACGAAAGCATCAACCAGCAGTCTTTCTCTCTCTCAATTTGTTAGTTTTGAATCTTTTGTGTTCTCTACTAGTATCGAGTATTATTACCATGCTAAGAGGTTTATACTTGGCCTTTTGAGGTTCTAACATGAACGGGTGATTTTTTTCAGATACAAACTGGGCGTAGTGAGTGCAGGAAAGAATTTTACAAAGATCAGGAAAGCAATCACAGCAGGGTTCTTCTTCCATGCTGCAAGGAAGGACCCACAGGAGGGATATAGAACCGTGGTGGAGAATCAGCCTGTTTATATTCACCCAAGTAGTGCCCTTTTCCAGAGACAACCGGACTGGGTGATCTACCATGAGCTGGTAATGACTAAAAAGGAGTATATGCGAGAGGTGACGGTGATAGACCCAAAATGGCTGGTTGAACTTGCGCCTAGATTCTTCAAACAGGCAGATCCCACGAAAATGAGCAAGCGCAAGCGCCAAGAACGCATTGAGCCTCTTTATGATAGATATCATGAACCTAATTCTTGGCGTCTCAGTAAACGACGAGCCTAATCTGCATGTAATTCTCCTTTTTCTCTCGACTAAATTTTGTTGATTTATGTAATCCTTTGCTTTCTAATTGCTTACTTTTCAGTAAAAGTTTTAAGAGATTAACCGACACTGACTAGCTTTAGACCAAGTAAAAAAGAAACTTGATGATTTTGGCGTATAAAGATAAGTCATGAATTGAGTATTTTTTTTTTTTATAATTTAAGGAGTCGTATTTCATTCCATATAACATTTGACTCTCATATGAAGCAATTTTTTCAACTTCCATTGGGCTCTTGTTTCCTGGTCTACAACAACTAACCAGTATGTTATAGCGTAAACATCATAATAAAGAATGGATTGTACATTGTAGCGTGTAACCTTTATTTGGCAACTGGTATCTACCATCATCACCATTCCAAATCACATCATACGTGATACTGAAGGTTTCCCCCTCTATGCAGGAACGGAGTTTCCGAATCCGAAATTTCCGTTCCCGAATCCAAAATCCACTATAAGGATTCCATAACATAAAAATCGTTTCTGATTCAATCATCTTCCAATGGATTGTTTCACATTATCATATATGCTTTTGAAAAACTTTTGCCCATTCACGTAATCATCAATGGAACTTATGGCAACTTGTTACCACTGATATTTTCAAGGTTCGTGCTACATTGTGACTGCAACATTAGTACGAACTGAAACCAGTTTGATCATCCATGCTAGAATTACTCCAAGACTACCTCCACTAATGGATTCTCAGTCGATGATTGTACCATTGACATCGTCTAATCGAGCATCACCTCTCTCTATGCAGCAAGTCCGTATTTCCTCATCAGGTTTCCATATCCACCTCCGGAAAAGTGTGCACCAACTCCAATAGTCGGATAAAACCCCGGCCAACAAGCCTAGGTATCAGTTCTATCACTTATCCTGTAGTGAAGCTTGCCGATACGCTCCAGCTTCAAACGATGCACTCTTGTAACTCTAACGCTGGTCGAACATGCCAAGCACGGCAAAAGGAACCTCCAAAACATAGGAGAGACCCTAGTAATCATGGGCACCACTTTGGATTCTGATCAAATAACAGTTGCCTGGACGTGGGATCCAAGCATGGCGGCGGCTACAATAGCTAAATGTTTTGACGGTTGCTTTCGTTGAAAATCCAATGTTTTTAGCATACGCTTCAACAACAGCTAGAAATGGCGGGGGAGGCATTGAAGAAAGCTGTTTTGAATTGAGGCACGAGTGCCCCAACAAACTAAGCCTAAAAGAAATAAAATACGAGCAATATTGAGGAGCACCAAAATTCCTGAACTTTTCTTGGCAAATGACTTGGATGGTTTTCTTCCATTCATACATGCATAGATCTCACCACATTTGGGCTATTTTTTTAAGCAACATTAACATAATACAATGCAGACACACACACATAACGTCAATAGGTTTCTAGTAGCAACATTTTTATTTTAGAGATTGACAAAGAAAGTGTTGAAAGGTGCAATCGAATTTTTGAAAATTTTAAATATTTGTTTATATTTCTAATGATAATCTAATTTTGTATCATCTAAAATTTTATAATTTTACATCTTTAAATTTTAAATACAAATTTCTATATTTTCATCTCTAACATAAAATTATATGTTGATTTATGCTCTTCATCGGAAAAGCAGTACCCCAATGCGTAATCCATAGTCGTGCCATTCAAAATTGGATCAACACCCTGGCCTATCATCAATAGTCATTATATACACCCGTCACCCTGCCAAAGTTTATTGAATAAGACCACCATCAAATAATAATAATATTAAAAGGAAAACTAGCAATATACAAACATGGTGGAATGTCACGTACCTATCGTATGACAAGTACGTATCACCTATATTTCCTACATTAAAATCTTTCTTTCCCCAATTATACATTTGACTCTTTGCTGTCACTAAAATCTAGAAGTTAAAATTATATTTTCTTTTCCCAATTCACTCTTTGCTGTCACTTTCCCTTCTTTCGTTCTGCGCAGGAACTCACGAACGAAAGGTAAGTTTTTCTCTCTCTCTTCATTTTCGTGCAAAAAATTGAATTTTATGGAGTTTTAGTTCATTATTTCATCACCCACTAAAACTCAAATCTTTCTTTTTCAGTTTATGCCTTCAAGAGTTCCATTTTTTTAACTTGTCTTCTCACAATCGGTGCTTTGTAAGAGTGAAGAATCTCAATTTTATTAAGGTAAGTATGTTCTCTTTTTGTTTTTGATTTTCTGCTGATTTTATATATGTGAAAATCATGTTTCTATTCAACCTATTGTTAGATTTAGGGTTTCAATTTCAGAGAAAATTAGTAACTATCATTTAGTTGTTTCTTGGTTTAGGGTTTTAATTGTTGTTTTATCGATGCAGCCATGCCTTAAACGAGTACAATTCTCTCAATTAAATTGAGCAAAGTGGTTTTACATCTTTACTAGAAATTCAAATGAGATGAGAAAATTAGTAATTAGCATGAAATGAGATGAGATGAGAATGGCAGCCATGCCATGCAAATTTTGAATAGAGATTTGGGTTTTACATCTTTACTGCAAATATTGGGTTTTAGAAACTTGATCATGCAGCCATGCCATGTAAATTAGTAACTGCTGGACTTTTTTGCTCTTAGTAACTGTTGGTGATGAGTTTAGAAATTTGATCATCTATTTGAGAGATTCTTCCCTTTTTCATTTATGTTTGTTTGAACTTTAATGATCAATCTCACTGCAAATATTGGGTTTTAGAAACTTTTTACTTTTTTCGAATAAAATAATAATAATAATCCGGGCCGGGTCGGGTATCATATCATATATATGGTTCGAGTCGGGGTGAAATTTTTTTGTTTCGGGTCGGATTTCTGGTGGAGGTGTTAGAATTTTTGGGTCGGGTGGGTGGGTCGAAAACCCGACCCAACCCATACCCGTCCCTAGCTTCATCCATGTCAAGAAAGGTTACAAACAGTTTAGAATTCTGGATTAAGTAAAGAGTCCCGTCATCCTTTTTTCCACACGCCCGCTTTGTAGAATGGGTCAATAGAGATGGTAGTAGTGGATTCTATTCACATTATCCCTAAATGAACCTTAATATCCTCCATTTTTTACTCATAATAGACCATAACTCCAAGTGGTACATTTCATCTAATCTCTCCTACATCGGTTGGTATCATATCTTTTTCTTCTCCCAAACATCCCTTTTTATTATAACAATGAACACTCATTGATATCTAAAGTTTGATAAAAAGACTGAGGCTTATTCTCAAGAACATGAAGCTTGTAAGAAGGATTAATGGATAGAAGGTGAAGTAACCCAACCACTAGTACACTTTTTTATTCCATCCAATGAGTTCAAATTCATTGTTTTTTTCATAGAAGTGAAGTGAACCACAAACTAACTAGAAGTGTGGACTTAGGTTCAAAATATAGCACATGCAGGGCAATCATTATATGCAACAAGCCGAGAGAGCATCCAATTTCAGCAATGAAAATACCAGAGGCATGCATTGAAAACTACAAATTAGGACTTAATCTATGTAGTAAGCATCTTAAGCCAATAACTTAAAGGATTCATAATTACCTCATCACCACTCTTTTTTTGCATTATGCCATTTCTCTTGTGCAGACAGATATCATTCGCTCTGCAAAATATGCAATGAGCTGAAACAAGAGCAAAAAAAAATAATATTAACTAAGGTATCACAATCCACTAAATTAAAACTTAAACCTTAAGGAAGATACAGATAAATAACGAGGAAATTATCTTCCAACTCAACAGAACAGCATTACCATCTGGAATTCACACAACAGATATCAACATTTAGCATTTCGTTTATGAATTTAAACAAGGATGACAAACATTCAACTTTCTGACCACTGATAGACAGAATGAAGTTTCAGAGGCCTAGCTCGCTATGTTCCAAAAGAGTGAGGGTTAGACAAAAAGAAACACAGATTGAAGGCCAATTTGCACAAATTTATGTTTAAGCAGTACTGCAGAAACAGCGGTTTTGGCATATGAACGCTGACGGGGGAAAAGCAATGGTTTCGATTTGCTCTTCAAATTCTAAATCAATACAAACCTCAGTGGACAAATATATAGAAAGGAGAAATGTAGGAACCTGATTACAGAGTGGTTCTAATTGCAAACTCTTCACTGTGATTTGCCTTATGACCTTAGCTTTCTTAACTCAGCTGAAACTTTCAAACGATGACTTGCCATCTGCAAAAGCCTAAAAATAGGAGAACCAAGAGACGCTTATATCCAATAAATTTCACACAGGCAGAAATTGCTACTCCAATTTAAGAGGAGAAACATAATATTTTTGTGATGCCTTTCTATCCACATTTTGCTCGAAAACACACCCACGAAGCTGAATACCTATAAATTAAATATATCAGCAATGGTTTGGTGACCCTCAAGAATTAAAAAGTAGTCAACAAGAAAGAAAAGGATGCAGCATACCCATCTTGAGCAATGAAAAGAGATAAGCTAAGTTCCTCTGAGTCACCACCATTGTACTATCATACAAGAACATCAACTTAGAGAAAGAGTGCCAATAAAGCTGAGAATAGTGAGGAGAAAGAATGATTGGAAGGTTCCAAGGTTTTGAAAATTGAAAACATTTCTCTAGTTTTAATGTCTAGAGTACGTTGTTTCTTCCTATTAATCGCTAACAACTTCAACACGATCATAAACTGTGTCGTCTGTTCATAGGCCGGAATAAGCAATGTGGCAAAAATCCCATGCTTTCCGAAATCTGTTATCTCTGACCTATAATCTGGATTACAACTGCCAAGACATGGCTCTTCTAATAATGTTGGAAGGAAAAAAGATACCGAGGGACATATTAAGCGGTTTTCAGGCCCAGCCACACACTTAGTCGTATCGATGCCAAGGTGGTTGAGTTTATGCTTCAAAATCTCCAAGTTGCGCATATCCTTGGGTGGGTCTTCAGACTCTTGAGAATGAACTTAGAGATAAAAAAGGAACTCCGGTAAGCCTTCCAGTATGTACATTTGCACGCTCTAATGCAAGTGTCAGCACGATTAAACACATAAATGCCTCTCTTGTTTTCTCCGACACAAATAAAACTGAACAATATAAACAGCCAATTCACAGAAAAGAAATACCTGGAAAGGAGAATAAAGCGAAGAAAACCCATTAGTGCTAAGCGAGAAAGAAAGGATTTTGGGGAAGGGTTTTGAAGAAAGATAGGGAATGAAGCGTTTAGAGGGTATTGGGAAGTTTTTAAGAGGCAGCGGCGGTAGAGAGGAAGCGAGGAAATGTTTGGAGAGCATCGAAAATGCAGTGAGCCTGCGGAGGAGGAGATGTAGGCGTTGATTGTGGGAAGTAAAACGTAGCATCTTCGCTCCAAAAATTCTGGAGTTTATAAACGATGACGTTGTACATCCTATCATATTAGTTACAAGGTAACACCAGTGGGATTAGTTACGGGCAAGGATTTATAAGCCCTCTTGCGGATTCTGCAATGGGCCTGGCCACTAATTTTGAGTCCGCCAAGCAGTTTTGTCTATTTGCATTTGGAAAGTATAACCGAGTAGTGGGTGTGGTAGCCGTATACAGATATTAATAGTGTTCCTTTGGCCCAACAACTATACTTTTGTTTCTCTTACTTTTCATATTATTTCCACTTTCATATCTACCTTTTCACTATTCATAATAACAACCGATAAATAAATTCCACCAAAACAGTTGGATGATTTGTTAGTTTAAGAAATTACTCTACGTGGCTAATTGACAAAAGAAAATATACGTTGTTATGGAAAGGATAATGATCTCATAAAAGAAGAGATTTGAATGGATGACGGTTTGATTTTCAACTTGGAAAGCACTTAAAGGGCATGGGGATTAATGCAAACGAACAAAACAATACTATATATTTTAATCACTTATTGTCGTTGCAAGCAAAGTTATTTATGTCACATGGGAAACAGCACGCTTTCCCAACAGCTTAATTATCCAAAACATTAATTTAATCCCACAACAAAATATTAAAAGCTGTTTTCCCTCTCTCACAGATTCCAATGCGCTTCATGTCTATAAGTCCCATATAGTGTGACGAGGGAACGTCTTGACCAAATAATTCAAAGAGTATTATTTGATTTTAAAAGGTCTTGATGTTTGATGCTTGAGCTCCATCTTCTCCCAACTTTTGTGATGCTTTTAGCATGGATAACTATGAATTTTCGCACGTCGTTACATTATCTTTTGTGACTAATAATGTTTTTAGCGTATTATTTTTATCATTATATCTTGATGTGAAATGATTATGAACTATTTTTTCAAATAAGATCATGTTTTCTTTTAAAAAACAGTCATCCAGTTGATCTCTTTTTATATACATATAATGATATAATGCATGCAAATCTCATACATAAGTGTGTGATCTATTATAGGCGGGTAGCACAGGTAAGTTCCATAGGTAGGTAGGTAAGGTTGGTGAAAAGAAAGAGCAAGGCGATGAGAGAAAGGGATGGACCTAGGCGCAATAGATGAGGGCTGTCATCCCCTTAAAAATCTAAAATTTTCATATATTTTATATTTTTTTCATATATTTATTATTAAAAATCAATTTTCATCTCTTAAAATTTTATAATTTTAAATTCGACTCCTGAAATTTAATAAGTTTAAATTTGTTCAATAGCTCAAAATCAAGTGTCGGTCCCTGTTGAGAAACTGGAACCCCACCCGCATGATCAGTGGAGTAGCCTTCCAAATTTCATGCAAAAGGCATGCCAACCCTAAAAAAATACAGCCTCAATATAATAATCTTAACTTCGACTGGTCCTCCCTTCCACCAGTCCTCCTCATCATTTCAATTCTAAGTTATATGTGGAAAGCCAATTCATCCATTTAACCATCTTAGTTTGTGCTCGTAATTTTTTTATGTAAATTTGGCGCAAGTATATATAGCTTATTCTTTTTTTTAGAATTAAATGTATATAGCTTTTCTTTTTTTTGATAAGCAATTTTCATATATTGTCCAAGAAAGCAGCCGAAGCTGCAAACAGAAACTTGTACCTTATTTACAAAATACCCCAGGCAGGAACCAACTGCACGTTGACTCTATCCTCCATATCTATAACTCCACCATTCAACTTTACACAAACAATCTCCTTGACACAAAGAACAATATCATCAACAGAATGCGTAACTTTCCTAAACAAATCAATTGGTATTTAATATAATTGTTCTAAATAAATTTAGCTTTTTATATAACTGTTAATATAATTATTTAAAATTCTAAATAAATTTATTAAATTGTTATTTAATTGATAAGTGACCCTTGTAATATAGTTCGATAGATTGGTATATATGTGTATTGTTTGAAAGGGTAACGAATTATCAATCAATATATAATTAATAAAATATAAAGATGAGTATCAACTTGTAAGGTAAAGAAATCTAGATAGGTGTGGTGTGACGGATGAAACCTGTGAGATTGCCGGTGACGGTGACGTCAACCGGTGAAGAGGGGTTGGGCAAGTGTCTAGTGTGTACCTAACTCAACTCCCACAGCTGAATCATTCCAATTATTTTAACGCACCAAAGCATTCGTCAGCGTCCAACAAGGGTTCCCCCCCCCCACCCACCCAAAAAAAGAACTCACAATTGTAATTTTATTATATAATAATGGTACTGCTAAAAATTTAAAATGATGAAATGGAATTGATCAACATCATATTCGGACCAGGACAAAACGATCACACCGGGATTAGGGTTACAGGAGAAGCCAAACAATTGAGTTAGAGGGAAAGAGATAGTTATGGACAATGGATTCTGAAAATGTCTCATCAAATCTGAGGGGTCGGTGATTTCCATTCATCCCATCAATTACTACTAAAACACTAACCAACAATTTTTTTTTTTGGGGGGGGGGAATAGGGAAAAAACCTAAATTCTGAAAAATCATCAAAATGATCGGCTCTTAACTCAAACTTCGTATTTAAGTACCATTAGTGTTTTTCATGTCACATGGAAAAAGTAGCCTTTTATAACAATTTGTTTTCTTCAAAAAAAATGAAAGTGAAAGCTTTTGAAATTTAATTGAAATAAACATTTAAACTTGTAAGAAATTAAATTAATATTACATGCTTTTATAATTTATTTAATCCAATAATCAATAATTATACGTATATGTTAAGATTCAGGCTACTCATGATTGTTTTCGGATTAATTTATTTAAATTTAATTTACTAACTGTGTAAGAGATTATAGAAAAATATGTCAAATTAAAAATGGGATGCTTTAATTTTGTACACGTGGAAAGTGGGTGCAATAACAGAATAGTGGAAAATAAAGTGGGAAACAAGTTCATTACAGCAGTAACATAATCAGGCCGAATGGCCGATGCTATATCCTCGAAGTCAACCCCTTTTGACTTTGAACGGTACATTGATTATGGGGACAAAATATTTTTAATGCTGTAACATTATTTCTTAATCAGTTTACAATTTATTAATTTAAAAATTATAAAATTTTAGATTTTGTTTATGATAGCACCAAGTTTTGTAGCTCCGTCGGCTGCCTTGTTCGTTCGTGATGAACTTTTCGAAACTCGATATACTAAGCTCTGAATGTTTAATTATTTCCCTAATTTTCTGTATAATCTTATATTTATTTTTAGACACTTTTCCTTTTCATATGATTTTAAAAGAAAATATCCGATCAGTGTAATTTTTTATTTTAAATTTTGTGATATTGTGAACATTTGTTATATTTTAATCTATTTAATCAAATTAATTATTATTTTAAAAAATTGAATATTAATCAAGAAATTTGGAGTCTCGTCATTGAAGGCCTCAATCTTTGAACACAAATTCACTGCCACTCTTTGTGTCTCATATATAACTTATCGACACGACTCTTTTACATTCTTATTAAACACTTTCATTTTACGTCACATCACTGTTTATTTAACTAAGGGTATAATATATAAACCATCTTCTAATTATAATATGTTATTATGTTGAATTCATTAATTATTAAATGTTATAAAATGGTTATCAGATAATAGGATGTTGTTTTGTTGAATATTAAAAGTTAAAAAATGATCATTTGACTATTCATATATTATAAACTCGTTTTTTTTTTATTTTAAAAAAATAATGATAGTCTAAGTTAGATGTTAACATCATGATTGAAATACGATAGTCGTTTGAGATTCTATGGTCGAATTTTATCACATCACAATGAACATGTTAACGTTAAGCTTAGACAATAATGAATTTAACGAAAAATGATGAATTTGTAATATATGAATAATCAAATAACTATTTTATAACTTTTAATAGTTAAGAGACTCGATAAAACATATCATATAATAAAAAAAATCATTTCATAACTTTTTAATAATTACAAAATCTAACAAAACAAATGTGAAGATGTTTGTGTACTTTATCATCTAACTAAAAGGAACTTTCAGTCATCAAGTCAATTCATGTTTCTTTAACACGCAGTCATGTTCTTTTTTCTCTTCTTTTGAAAAATGTGCAAGCTAACACGATTCATCTGCCAACGAAAACACGATCACATAGAACTGAACTTACAAGGCTTGAGCAATTTTTAACATTAAATTACACTTATCTTTCTATATTAAAAAAAGTTTTATTCACTTTTATTATATATTTTTAAATAATTATAAAATAATATCTATTTGGAATGATATGTATTAAAACGGGGGAACTGGATGCTCGTAGGATAGTAATATAAACCACAGAAAGAAAAATCATAAAAAGTGAAGAATCACTGTGAGAGGTCGTGATCCAACTTCCACGTTATCAAACCAAACGCACTGCACTTCCCCAAACGTCCCTCGGACCCCTACACTTGTTTCTAGGAAACACCCAGGTGAAAGTCAATATTATTTATATTAATAGGTTTTTTTTTAAATATTTAAATTTATAAAAGTTAATATTGAATTATATATTTTTTGGGTTAAGATTAATTTTATTTTGATTTTATTTTTTAAAAATATTTTTTATCATGAACTCCTTCGGATATAAGGTTGAGAGTTTATTAAGCTACAATAAAATATGAGGACATGTCTAAATAAAAGAGTAAAGTTTAAGATTTTTTTAAATAGAGTTTAACTTCATAAAACAAAAAATATATATGAGAATCAATCAAGAGGTCTCATAATTTAAGAGATTTTTTTCTATGAATTTAAACAATTATATATATATTTTTTTGGATAATCAATCAAATATATTTCATCCAAAGAAAGCAACAATTGCTACTACAAATAACAAGTAACCTCCTAAATCAATCCCCAATCAGCACAAAGTTGATTATTTACAGTATTCGATGTATTAATACTATACCTATACAATTTGATACTAACTACCTCTTTGACTGTTTTTACAATGACATCAACTGGACGCGACAATCCTCTAAAGATCTACGATTGCGCTCCTCCCAGATGTAATAAACGTACCCTGCCCAAGCTAGTTTCAGAATATGAACTAGCATGGACTTGCCTTTCAAGTTTCTAATCAGCCAACACAGCCACTCGATCCAACTCATGTACTGTTGCTGTAATCCACACAAATGCAGGATGGAAGCCCAAACCTCCCTCTAGTAAGGACAATCCGAGAAGAGATGGTTTCTCGATTCCAAATCATCATCACAGAAACCACAACGAGCATCAGACACTACAGCAAACCGAGCTAATCTCTCCTTTGTTGGCAACCTGTCAAGGATGGCCATCCATGAAATCAGAGAGAACTTAGGGATATGCGAAGGGAACCAGATGAGTCGATGCCACTCAACCTTATCCTTCCTCTCTCTAATTTTGTCTCATATCCATCCTCCTCTAGCCTGTGACCAGTTAACAGAAGCAGTAAACAAACTTCCAGCCTGCACACGCATCTTAATCAATTTCCTGAGAGTCCAGCTGAAATGAGGCTTACTTTCAACATTCCAGTAGTCTTCATGCTTAAAGCAGTAAGCCTTGACCCAGGCAATCCACAAGGAGCCTTCATCAGCCAATAGATTTTTAATAAGCATCAAACAACAAGCCTGGTTCCAACCAACCAAACTTCTAAGCCCCAAGCCACCCTCTGATTTGGGAGAGCAGATATGACTCCAACTGACTCTAGCACCATGAGCAGGAGAGTCATTGCCTTTCCAAAAGAATCTCATGTACACCCTTTCAATGTCCTGGATGACACCCTTAGGCAAAATAAGCTGCCTACTCCAATAGCTAAAAATGCTAAACAAAACCACTTTAATTAATTGCAACCTCCCCCTTAACTCAATTTCCTACTGGACCACTACCTCAGCTTGCCTTTTATATTATCCAACAGAGCTCTACAGTCTGTCCCAGATAATTTCCTGGTCACTAAAGGTACCCCTAGGTACCTTACAGGTAGATGACCAACTCTAAAGCACGTAGCTATTCTAATCTGCTCCAGTTCACCCCTAGGGATTCCACAAGTAAAAATCTCAGTTTTCATAGCATTTAACTTAAGACCAGACAGGTCATAAAATTTATCCAGAATGCTAAGAACCCCCAACACTGAGTCCAAAGAACTATGGCAAAACAATAACAAATCATCAGCAAAGCACAAGTGTGTAAGGGAGATCCTCTTACACCTTGGATTAAATCTAAAAATACCATTCCTGACAGCAACATCAAGCAGGCTTGAAAGAAATTTCATGACTATTACAAATAGGTAAGGGGATAAAGGGTCCCCTTGCCTAACACCTCTTGCACCCCTAAAAAAACCCCCACTAAGCTGCCATTCAGAGCAATTGAATACCTAGGAGTTGTCACACAGACCCTAATCCAATTACAAAACCTTTGAGGAAGACCCATAGCATCAAGGACATTCAACAGGAACTCCCAGCTGATAGAGTCAAATGCTTTCTGCAAGTCAACTTTGATTGCACACCTAGGGGAGAGATTCTTTCTTGAATAACCTCTGACTATCTCTTGTGCTAACAATGTGTTATCAGAGATACTTATGCCTTTAACAAAAATAGATTTAAACAATTATATTTGCAAATGTATATACATACGTTATTAATGACTAAAAAATTATGAATAAACACTACCGTACAATCTTTATATATATTGAACCCATTTGGCCTTAACTGCTGTAACACTGTTTTAATTAATTACTAATCTTTCTGCAGTTTAAATAAAGAAACCTCTTTAACTAGCTATTAATTAATTGATTGATTTGTTTTTGTTATCTCCTTCAAGTTGTAGCACATATAAAAAAGACCTGTTTTGTATTAAAAGTCAGCGATTCCCTCTCTCTCTCTCTCTCTCCCCCTCGCTTCGAAGAAGAAAGAGAAAACAAAACAGTCTTGAATTTGTTTTGTTTGCTTTTGGAGTGAAGAAACAGGATTATATCGACCCATCGGTTTTATTCTCAAGGCTTGAAAGAAAGAAACCCATATTTGTTTGCTTCTTCTGAAAATTCAAAGCATTTGCAATTTTGCTTGCTTTTTTTCACGTCTGGAATTAGTTTTGGTGCAAATTAAAGCTCGGAGCAGTGTTCGTTTATATGAGAGAATCAGCTTGTTTCTTTACAGATGGAGAGCTACCGAGGAGAAGGTGATTTAAAAGACATAGTTCGGGCAAGTGGTGGTGATCCGTTGAGCTGCGCCGCTGATCAAGACTCCTACACGGTTCATACTTCAAGCTGGCATCAGTTCCCTTCCGATCCATTGAATAATTTTCCATCTTCAGCCACGGAAGGTCATGGTTTAAACACATTCGGTGACCCTTTCTCCAGTATCAGAGATCCACTTCTTCACGAGTTTAGTTCGACATACTTTAACAGCCCTAATTCGGCTTATCATCACCATACAATCAATACCAGCTGCTCCACCACCGTTGAAGATACGTCGAGCTTCCCCGGTTCAGCAACAATCGTGGGTCAAAGTAAGATGTTTGAAGAAGATACGAGGAGTCCTTGCAACATATTTTCTCGGATTCAGATCTCCCCGACAAGCTTAAGTAAGCTACCTGTGTCGCACTGTGATTTGCCGATGATGGCTGCTACTGGAGTTTCCCCGAGAGGAATTAAGGCTCCTGCTGTGCTCCCAAGCGACATGATTAATGCCAAAACCACCTCAAAAAGTAGCTTTATTGATAACACTGGCCCAGTGCAGATCTCATATCCGCGGAATCTGGGTATCAAGAGAAGGTTAGGGTAATATTTAATTCACTAAGCTCAACCTTCGTTATTAAACTCTGAAGCTCCCCAGCTGGCTACTATATTTTTTATTCTTCTTCTTTGTCTCATTAATTGACACCCATGATGCATGAATTAATAACATTTAGGGTATTAGTGAAAATTTTGGAACCTTGGGTTTTTTCCTTTTCTTTCATGAGATCATATTGTAAATGTAAGAAATTAGGGTTTATTGTTACCAACTAATGTATTTGAATTTTATGCATTGGAGATTTGGAGTGTATGATTTGTAGGCAAGTTTTGCTCACCACGAGGTTTATATTAACCCTGAAAATGTTGCGATCCGGACAGGCTTTTAATCAAACCTGGTAAAGTCCATAGTTAGCTTAACTGGTAAACTTAGCATCCGTATAGTTAATGTGAAAGTACTCGCATGGATGATGATGTTTACTGCTGTTTTTTTTCTTCTTAAAAACTTTTGTAGGCAAGTTTTATCATTTGCTAAAAGATCAAGTTTCAAGATAAGTAATGTAAATTGTTGTGTATATTACAGAAAGAGCCAGGTTAAGAAGGTGGTTTGTATTCCAGCACCAGCAGCTGCAAACAGCAGGTCTAGTGGAGAAGTAGTTCCTTCGGATCTGTGGGCATGGAGAAAATATGGGCAGAAACCCATAAAAGGTTCCCCTTATCCAAGGTACATATATATGCACATTATGTTAGTGAAACATTATATTACTAGCTACTTTGTTATGTTATGTTATTATCATTGACAAGACGAGTAGACGACGAGCCAAAAAACTACTGATAAGTTTGAGAAACCAAAACTGCACTCGCATTAGCTATTCTGCTGTCTTCTGAGATGACAATTTGCAGAAATCATGTTTCTTGGTTTCTATGTTGTATGTATTTCTTAATAATAACAATGAAAAAGATATTTACTATTATACACTCGAGCATGCTGAGTTTCCCCTCTTAGTGTATAGCACAGTTCTTTATCGTACATGCTCATCGATCGGCTGTGCTTTTCCTAATATATGGAAACATGAATAACCAATGTTTTCTTCTTCTTCTTCTTTGATCGAAGTGCTTCATTTACATTTTGTATGTATATGTTTATAAGTAAAGATATTATATATCAGATTGTGCGCTTCATCCAGCCAATTTGCAATAATTGATCCTTTAGTAAACTGTATATTTCCAGGGGCTACTACAGATGCAGCAGTTCCAAAGGCTGTTCTGCAAGGAAGCAAGTGGAGCGAAGCCGAACTGATCCCAACATGCTTGTCATCACCTATACATCAGAGCACAATCACCCATGGCCGACTCAGAGGAATGCTCTAGCGGGATCAACAAGATCTCAGCCATCCAAAACCTCTTCTGCTTCCAAGATAAACCCCAAGGAAGAAGAGCTTAAAGAGAGCAGCAACGATGCACTGTCTCCCACTAATGCAGCGGCTGTCAGCTCAACCGCAAGTGCATCGGCTAAAGAGGAGAGCGAGGACATGGAGAAGCAGCAGGAACCAGACGATGCCGAATTTGGCGATCAAGGAATCCCTCAAACCTATATACCACCAGCATCAATGCCAACAAACTCGCAGCAAGCCGACGATTTCTTTGCTGAATTGGATGAGATAGAGACAGACCCTCTTAACCTATTGTTTCCACAAAGATTCAGTGGTGCTGATCAAGACGAGCAGAAAGAAACGAAAACAATGGATCCTTTTGGTCTGTTCAATTGGCCAGGGAACAACAATGCTTCTTTCTAAAAACAAAACCCCAAAAGGGTTTATAGCAATACCTTGAGTTTGTAGCTAATACAAATACATGCAAAAGTGTATCAGAGTTGGCTTAATTCAGATTCAAGGTCATGCTATAAACCCTGGTTTTACCATGGAGTGTTATTTACCTTCTGATCTTAGCTCCGTAAGGGGTGGGCTGGTTATATTTTTGTTGTTATTTTACCAGAATAGTACGGAGATTCAGAAGAGGGGGGAAGGGTTGTGATGTCCCACATTCCTTTTGGATGGGACAGAAAGCTGAAGAACAGAAGGATTCAATAGTGCAAACAAGTACGTGCCATCAGACATGACTGGAAAACTCGGGCAGCAATGGTTAAAAAAAATCATTTGAAAAAGGTTGAATTTTCTTATCAAATCTGATTGCGGGATATGTGCAAAGAGTGAGCCAGATTAAAAAACAAAGCTTCAGCCTTGGGTTCCTCTGCTTTCTGTTTCTTTTATCATCCATCCAACTATAGTATTTCTTTAGACTTTAGCATTGATAGTATTTGGAAATTTGAATCGCTTGGGGTTTTCTATATTTTTCTTTCTTGCCTCACACTATTAACTTCTCATTCTTATTGTTGTACACGTATCAGATACGAATGAATTCAGCTTCTTTCTTCTTTTTTAATGCAAACAATCTTTAAAATAAGTAACCGTTTATCTGCATTAATTTGTACAGAATAAAGAAGTAGATAAATCGTGTGGCTTGCATTTAATGAAATATTTGTGTATCTGGAACTACAGGCATGACGACTTATGAGAACTACAACTCAGCAAGTTTTCAAATAAAGAGGAAAATGAGTCTAGCGGGTAAGAATCCAGAAATCAATATATTTGCACTTTGTATATTATTAAATATGAAATTACCTTAAACCCTAAGCCACTAATAATGCTAGTAGAGGTGGGAATAGACCAGGCCGGCCTACAGGGGCCTGGGCCTGGCCTGTATAAAGCCTAGCCTAGCTTGATTTATTTAACTAAACAGATCAGACTCAGGCCTTTTTAAAAACTTATTTAACTAGACATATCAGGCTTAGGCTTATTAAAAAGCTTTATAAGTCTGATAGGCCGGCCTATTTAGAGTGACTACTTTGTAAAATGTACTAAGTTAGAGTGATTTAATAGGGATTTTACTCTAAAATTAATGACTAAACTGAAAATATTAAATGTTTATTGTTAAACAGGCTTTTAAACATACTTTTAAACAGGCCAGACTTTTAAACAGACCCAGGCCAGGCCTAAATAAAAGCCTTTGACAGACCACAGGCCAAGCCCATGCCTACACAAATCATTGTAGACCAGGCCCAGGCCTATTAAAGCCTGGCCTGGCCTGACCTATTCTCACCCCTAAATGCTGGAATACAATTAAAAAACTTCGCTACGTAATTAATTTCTTATGTAATGGTTCCATTTCTATAGGTGTCTAACAATGGTGTGCATTGTTTTATATAGTATTTATTTAATATATTTTAGTTTTATGCATGAATTATTATATTATCAATGTCACACTGAAAATATTTACAAGTTATATATTTTTTGGTTAATCTTTAAGGCGAGGGGAGGGATTGTTTAGAATCAAATCTGAGATTTAATGTTAATTAGAATTGAAATAATATTCGTTAACAATACAATACAGTGTTGGTCGACATTTATTAGTTTTTAGGGAAACTTACACAAATGTTATTACGATTATAGGGTATTGTTTTTTTAGCTTATTAAGGGTTAAAAGTTACAAAATAATACTAATTATAGAGTATTGTTTCGTTAAGTCCTCTGACTATTAAAAGTTATAAAATGATTTTTCAACTATTCATATATTTCAAACTCATCATTTTTCATTGAAGAATTATCGATGGTCTGAATTGCACGTTAACATGTTGATTGAGATATGATAGTCGTTTGAGATTTTGAGATTAAATTTTATCATGTCACAGTCAGAAAGTTAATTGTATTCACCTCATATTACCGTCAAATTTTTTAACAGAAAATAACGAGTTTGGAAAATATGAATAGTCAGGTGACTATGTTGTAACTTTCAATAGTACGATAACTCAATAAAACAATGTCTTATAGTCAATAGACCATTTGATGACTTTTAATAGTCGGCACCCAACAAAGCAACACTCTATAGGCGGGAGACCCCTAATTTTTATTATATCTTTAATAAGTATGATATTTTTTGAGTAATCTCTTGAATTGTTTATTAAGTTGATTATTAACAACATATTTTTCTAGCAAATGTTGCAATTTCGAAAATACTAATGTTAAAATTTTGTAAAAGCAATCCTTAAAGTATATACACACGTGCTTTGTGAAGCCCCAACAACATTCACTTGGTGTATCCGGTGGGATGGAATTCTTTGGTTGGGTTAACATGGATCAAGACTTGTTGTTTCTTTCTACTTGAAAAAACGCAAAAGCAGTCTCGTTAAATGAGAGGCTTTCGTTCTAAACAGATGAGAGAGGTTTGAACTTTGGCCCAGAGAAACAACACGCGCGTACGTACTAGGTAGGGTTTGCAAGTCCTGTACGTGGAAAATGTGTGGGTTTCATTCTTACATAATTTTACTCTATGGTCTTCCAATGACATTAACTCAGCAATAAAAAAGATTGTAATATTAACTTTATTAATATTTCACCCTTGACAAAGTGATGTATAACTGCGTACATGATGTATAATTAAATTAACTAAAACCATTCTCAAAATATACTGAAGTCATCAGCACCTATAAAGTCTTTTAAGGTGCATGTATTCTGTCTCCTTTCTTCCCTAATTATACAAGCATATGAATAGGCTATTCTACAACAATTAGAACATCACCTTTGCATCTATTTATCTAATTAAAACCCTTTTTTCCGTTCTTTCTCTAATTATTCAAGCATATTCATATGCTATTCTACAATAATTAAAGCATCAGCTTCGTAATGTCTCAAACCATTATTCATTTATCCTTTATTACACAAATACTTTACACTTAAAATTTTGTTAATGATATAAGAAGTTGGTAGATCAAACTTGTGATAAATTAGTAACATCTTTTTCATTTGAATTGATAATAATTTTGAAGAAATCGATTTAATTTTAAAAGAACAGGGATTGTATTTAAAAACGATAGATTTCGTGGCTAGTTGAAGAAATGATTGAATGGAAATGTGAATATGTAGTAGTAAGCACCAATAATACCGAGTAACAATGATGACAGTTGTTCATTGACTGTTCCGAAGACACAGTGTCCCGCAGAACCAAAGCAAAGCAGGATATAACCTAATCCGACCACTGACACCGTTACTTTTTATTTAGGGGTAAAGTACACAAAAGGTCCTTGCTTTAACTATAGTATTTTGTAACAGTTTAATAAAATTAAATGATTATTTTGTAATATTTTGATAAAATTTAACCATCATTTTACAATTATTATAAATTTAATGGTGATTTTGTATTAATTTAAATAAACTTTTAGTTATTTATAATTTTAAAAAAATTAACGATTAAAATAAATTGTACTTTACCATTAAAAAGGTTAGGGAAAAGGGAAGTGTCATCTGTCCTCCTCTTCAACCCATTTTATCTTTTTTGTGGATGAACGATAAGAGACACGTCACTTGGAATTATATCTTCCAAATTTGAAAGCGACATAAATATAAATATAACCAACATATATTAAAATTTATATTATTATATAGGATAAATTACATGTTTAGTATTTAAACTATCGTTTTTATCCGTTTTAGTATTTAAAATTTTAATTTTTTTAAAATCACATCTAAATTTTAGTTTTTGTTTCGTTTTAGTACCTCACTGTTAAAAACTTAACGGGTGATTTGCATGTGACACATTTTTATGGGTAAATTGCATCATTCATCACTCAAACTATCTTCTCACTCCTATTTTGGTCCACCAAAATTTATATATTTTTTAATTTAATTACTTAACTTTCAAATTACTCTTAATTTGATCACTCTAACTTTCAAATTAATTTTTAGCTTAAAAATACAAAAGGTGTCCAACGTATGTCTTGGGTTCTAGTTTAGTGTCTAACATTTATTACGTTCTAGTTTGGTGCCTAACGTTTCATTTCGTTACTCATTTAATGCTCATGCCGTCAACGACGTTAATTTCCCCTTTAAGTAACACATGTCACAAACTGATAATTTTAAATTTTTTATTTAAAATTAAAAATTAAATTATATAAATATTTTTAAAAAAAGAAAACAAATTTTGAAATAAACCCAAAACCTTGAAAACATTTATTTCAAACCCCTAAACCACCCGACCTCCCCTCCCCTCGGCGACCAAAACCCGCATAAAATTGTGACTGATTGATGATGAATAAACGTTTTATACCCCACGAACCATAGGATGAAAATCGTGATCCCACACGATTGCGACGACCGATGATCGGTCACGATTTCATGGGAGGTTTTAGTCACTGAGGGGAGGGAATGTCAGGTGGAGCTTCGTCGATGGCAAAAGGCGACGGTCGGTGTGGGTTTAGGGGTTGAAATTAAGGTTTTCAAAGTTTTGGATTTATTTCAAAATTTATATTTTCTTTTTAATATATATATATATAATTTTAATTTATAATTTTAAATAAACTTTTTAAAATTACCAAGTCGTGTCACTTAACGGTCAAAATTAGCAGTCCGTCACTGCCTGACCCAATATAAGTAACAGAATGAAACGTTAGGCACCAAACTGGAACAAAGTAAACATTAGGTACTAAACTGGAACCAAAAGCATATATTGGACACCTTTTGTATATTTAAATCCTTATTTTTCTATTCTTACTAAAATAATAATAAAAATGTCATGTCACAAAATTTGTTAATAAAATAAATTAGAGTGATTAAATAGGAGCAATTTGAAAGTTAAAGTAAACATTAGGTACTAAACTGGAACCAAAGCATATATTGGACACTTTTGTATATTTAAATCCTTATTTTTCTATTCTTACTAAAATAATAATAAAAATGTCATGTCACAAAATTTGTTAATAAAATAAATTAGAGTGATTAAATAGGAGCAATTTGAAAGTTGAGTAGTTAAATTGAAATTTTTTAAACTTAATTACCAAAATAGGAGTGAGAGATATTTGAGTGATGTATGTTGTAATTTACCCATGAAAATACAATGTTGTTAAATTTTTAATGACGAAATACTAAAATGAAACAAAAATTAAATGGTAAGTATGGTTTTGAAAAAATTAAAAACTTAGACACTAAAATTGATAGTTTAGACACTAAACACTTAATTTACCTAAATATATAATATTAAAAAATGATTACGTCATTAAGAAAGTACATCGACACAAGGCAAATACATCCATTACGGAATCCACTTGAAAATTGGGAAATAAACATAGTATATCTCATTTGATAATAAATATGGGCATATATCTCTTTTAGGTACTCTTTAAGATTAAAAAAAAAAAAAAGTGAAACAGCATCTTATTCTCTATCAAGACTGTCTGCTATACAAATAGATACATGAACTTTATGCTTCTATATAGCACAGTCAAAACTACAATTAGGTACAAGAAAATTAGGATTGAGTTAGCATTCGCCGGCGGAATCTTATTCGGTCGATGTCTTTTGAAGACAAGTTTGAATGCATTCAAACACAAGTATTGTATAATAAATGAATTAACATGTCCTTTTGTTGTTATTTGTGATTGGATTACGTTAAAAATATAGTTTTGGTCAATATTTTAAAATATTATACAATAGTTATTAAATTTTAAAATGGTAATGAAATGATCATTAAAATTATTCAACTGTTATATAATTATCATTAAATTTATCGACACGTTACGGATTGATCATTAGATTTGTCAAAATTTATTACTATTTACAGCATCCCACATGAAATATTCTGTAATAATTTGACAAGTTTAATGATATTTTTTAAGTTTTGAGAGTTCAATGATAAATTATTTTGACGTAAATTCAATGATTAGGAACAAACGCATGAGTTATGTTAGGAGTGAATGTATAAAGTTTTATGATGTGAAAACAGATACATAAATAGAAAATATATAGAACATACAAAAATTCAAAAATTTTAAGAGGTGCTCTGTCTTCATCCCTTCTCCCTAAATCCATCTCTATTAATGACTTCTTATATTTTTTTTTTACAGATTAACATTTAATTTAACTATATATAATAATGATATGTACTTTCTTTAAATTAAATTCCAAATTACTGTAATATAATGATTAATGAGATTTCAAAATATTTAGATAGGTAGTGGTAGAATACGAAGCTCAGCAATTACGCATCAATATTGTCTGTCACTAAAAGTAATGTAATTAAAACTTCAAAGTACGTAAGATTTACTTTAAGATCAAATCGAATTTCAAGAAACAAAAGTAAAAAAATCTTTTAATTATCCTTCCATTAATCAGATTAATGAAGAAAAGGAAAAAGCTGCAAATCATATGCGCATTAGTAGTGCAGTGGCGGTGAGGAACGTCCTATATCGAGTCCATCACAGAGAATGCAGTCATCAGGACCACCCAACTTGAAGGAAATGGGGATTTCATTACATATAATTATCGCCACTTGTTCATGAGCTACGACCTGCTCCTCTGGCCCTAGCGTGAGCCTCCTTCACTCCCCTTAGGTACAGCCGCACAACAGGAGCACAGAAAGGGTTCATCTCCGGTCGGCCGCCGTTCTCTTCAAAAGCCACAAGGAGCCTGCCTACCATTCCATCCAAGCTGCTCCATGCTTCCGCCAGAGGGCAAGAGCACGAGCATGGCGTTGGTGGTTCAGGCCGTTTTAGGGGACAGTTCTGGGTGTGGATTTTGGTTTCCCCGAACCGATCTTCCAAGAATTCGAGCACCTGTACGCCGCTGCACTGGGAGAGACGCAGGTGGGGACGATGCTCCTTCAGGTATCGCTCGAAAGCATTCCAGTCGCGCCGCTTCAGAGATTCATAGCGACCAACAACCGGGACGAGCAGTGCGGGTTGTGGCGACGGTGGGTAAAAGGGTAGTCGACGATGGTTCACTGCCTGGTTACTTCCCCGATGAGAAGTGCGGTTAGATGAGACTCTTGAGGCGTTGGCGGCGGCGGCGGCAGCGGCTACTGCGGCGGACATATTGATTTAGTTGCTGGCTAACTAGGATTGTGAAGATACAACAAGAGACGAATATACAGAAACGGTAATCGGATTAAGGATAATTCCTTTACCTTTTCGTTCTTTGTTCTCTGCATATAATTATAGTTTAGATACAATGATCAGAAAGAACAATGAATTTTGATGACTGGTACCTTGGTATATATACACAAATGTGAACAACAGTGAATTTGTTAACAGTTGTCATCCAATAATTATTAGGCACGTGTTTAGAACATAATTTTAATTACATTGGCATTAAACATGCAACCAAATCCATACTGGGAAGCAAAGGTGGATGCGGCTGAAACAGAAGAGGGCTTTGGACGTGGAAAGTAGGGCGTAAATGGTTGGATTTTTGTTTGACTTAACTAAGGAAGCAGGTTTAATATTATTAATATATTAGGTGGTGGATATAACTTTCGAAAGAGGATAAGAACAGATTACATTTTCAACTTCCCATATCATTTCTATACGTCTTCTCATCATTTTCTTATCGTCATTTTAGATTCAAGGTTTAAATTATGGGAGTAATACGTTTTTACAAAATTGAATTTTATTTAAATTCAATTGAGAAATCGATTTTCTTATATAGACTACGTGTTTTGATCAAATATTCGATTTCGGAAATGGATGCCAGCTTTTTTGCCAGAGAGGAAGCAGCGGAAACGGGAAGGGGTGATGGAGCAGAGCCGTGTCGGTTCACCAAACTTCTCCCACGTTGGACTAATTCGTTATCTTTTCGAACAAGGCAGGGGCTGAAATGGGGACGTTTATGTCTTAATCAGATCAAGTATGAATACTGATTGAATACTTGTATTGTCCAAGGAAGTAGAAAAATCTGTTATAATATAATCACAACCAGCCAGTTTTATGGGAGCTAAGCAACGAACCAGCTTGAACTCCCAGTTCAAACAATGAAAAAACTACTTATTTACCAACCTCCTGCTATACATGGCACAACCTCAACACTTCTCCTCTGGCGATCTCTCGATTCCTATTCCCTGAAACAAAAACAACAACTGCCGTCATCTACGATCTCCCGTTCCGATTGGCGACTCTTAATCGGAAGCCTATCCAACATTGTAAGCCCAACAACAATGTTGTTTGAGTCGTCGTTATTTTATAAATGATTCATTGTTATAAATAATTATAAAATATATCTTCAATAAAAATAGATACTTATTTTACGAATATTCCAATGACTTTTTAAATAATTTATTATGATATTTTGTTAATAACATGATACTTGGATGTAAATCCTATTCTACTTTTAACATGTTTTATTATTGTGATTCATATATGCATTAGTTGTACTACTTAATCTTTTATCGTATTAAGATTTATTGAACGATTTTAATAATCAAATAAAGAGTATTGTCATCCTTAAAAGTTTTGAGCTTAAAAAATTACAATTGTGAGTGTGTATGTTCATTGTTAATTGGTTGAGAAAATTTTATTATAATCATCCCATACTAATCGAAACAATATTTTATTGCACTATATTTTTAAATCATAATACAATTTAACACTATACTTTCAAAAAATATTATATATATTTAGAATTATTTAATTTTGAAAATTTTGAATACCTCTTTATTTAAAAAATACCCTAGTCACTTTTTTTCTCCTCATCTTTTTTTTCTTTCTATTTTTTGTATTATCTAAGACTCGTGTCAATTTTATTGATCAATCCAGTTTTTTTTTTAATTTTATTTAACCGACGACAGTACCAGTTTTAATGCTGATTGCCGCACGCCTGTTATCTTTTTTTCTTTGTTTTTTAATAAGAATACTTATGTTTTTGTACATGTTCTCTGTCTTTATGACACATTTATCTATGCTCTTGTGACATGTTTTCCTCTGCCTTTTGGTAGCTTACGATTTTTTTTCGTTGTTTACGGTTATTTGCCGTTGTTTTTTGTTTATATTTTTTTTCTCAAGATTAGATTTGATATCGTCACAACTTATCAAGATGACATTTATTTGTTATGATGATGATCTTCCCTGCTTTGGACCCTCGGATTGATTTGGATACGCGTTTTGCGTTCGTGGATAGTTTTCTTACGTCACTTGACTAAGATTTGCAATTTGTCGATGGTCTTTCAGTAGCTTCATCCCTTTTGTGGTTCGTTTATCAATGCATTCAGATTTGTTCATATCTTTATTTTATTCGAGTTTTTTTGGTTATGTTTTTTTAAACATTTTCCGTATTTGGTCCTTATGTAATCTAGGTGGCTAGTTTTTATCTCAATGGTAATAGGAAAATGTCATAATTATATTTTAAGTTTACGATTATGCTTGTAAATCTTAATTGTAATTTTGGATATTTTCTATTTTTAATAAAACTAGCAATTTCTATATAAAAACTAATTATTTTGTTTTGTTTTCAATTATTTGTATTAGTTAGTTATTCTCGTAAAGGAAATGTTTGTCATTTATACGAGACTCATTTGAATAATGAATTTGTATGATTATTTATAAATATCAATTTTGAATTTTTAAAATTTGTCTATTGATGCCTGTTTTAGGACATTTAATGATTTGTTTTTTTATAGCATTTAATTTTTCTGTTTATAAAACGACACCTGAATTTATTTTTTCTCATTATTTTAAATTATATATTTTTTCCAGATAATTTATTATTTATATTAAAAATATCATGTTCACTCGAATGAGTATTCTGCGTGCATATGAAACACATATTTGTGTAGTGTGAATGGAAATAAACAAGAAATTGAGGGTCCAAAGGGAAGAAGTGAAAAGAAAGCAATAATGGGGAGGCAAGGCAGAGATGGGTGGAGAGAGGAGCACTGTCAAGTGCTGAAAATTAGAAAAGATATTAGGTTTGTTGCCAAATTATCTGTGGCCCAGATTTTTTTCACTCACACAACATGAGAAGATAAGGCAACAGAACATTAATAGGTTCATCTCTCGCACCACACATTTGCATTTTCTTTTATGAATTTCAAAATTATACCCCACCCATAAATGCTAATGTTGACGGTAACGGTATACATAGAATTTAATTTCGGTACAATTATATAGATTTTACAATATAACGAGTCCAATTATTTTTCATTAAATAAATATGGTTATTTATGTATATAATAAATGTAATTTTTTGTAAAAATAAATCAAAGTTTGTCCATAACCCAAAAAAAAATTTGATTATGGATGGCGCTTTGCATGTGGGGTTTGGTTTTAAGGCCGTGATTAAGTTGTCGTAGGTACTGTGTAAATTCTTATATAGGAATTTCTATTTTCTAGATATATTCGATTTCGAGGTCTTTATTTTTATGCTTCTTAATGACAACAATTGATATATATACTCGATTTCGGAGTCTTTATTTTTATGCTTCTTAATGACAATAATTGATAGATATACTCGATTTCGAAACCCCTACTTTTATGATTATTAATAACAATAACAGATAGATATACTCAATTTCAAAACTCTTATTTTTGGTTCGATTAATCGATGGAAATTCCAGTAACTCGCAAACAAGCAGTAGACGAAAAAATTGTAATTAAAATGGGTGGAGAATCAACATCAAGTCAAATCACAAGAAATGATGATTTGGGCGATGGGGTATGTTTAGGCCATTCAGTGGTTCATGTTGAGGTCAGACGCCAAGAAAATTTTGGTATATGTCGGGCTGGATGACGGTGGCCGTGCCGAAAGCTTTGGGAGCGGTCTATGCTTACCTCATTATTGCTCCTGTTAAGCATACGGCTCAAAATGTGGTGTGATGTGCTAATTGGCGTACAAAAAGGTCGACTTCTGTTTATGAAATTGACGTATGTATATGGAGGCCTTGACCACGCTGCCCAATCCCCTACAATGCCTCCAATTTTTTCAACACATCCCGAGTGATTTTACGGTATAACAATCGATAAAAGATTAAAGGAAAATACGATCTAAAATATTATAAATAATATAATATTTTAAATTACATATAATTTAAAATATTAGTTTTTTAATATTTTTAATTTAACTGAAGATATTAAGGAAAAGTGTGAATAAAAATGTTATAAACAAATATAATATTTTATCAGATTGCTTCACCATAGAACTCCCCCTTGTTGCCTCGGACACCAATATTCTGAAATTATTTTTCTTTTAAACTCTATTTAATTCTGATGCTTGGCCTGCGTCATGTTTATATCAAAGCTTCAACTACCTGTCAAAGCCATATTCGAGTATCGCGGTACTAAATTCAAGTTGCTTGCTGGCATAGTTGAGATTTTTATTCGTAATTTATGTTTTTGATAATTTTGCACTAATTCGATATTTTACTCTTAATTTTCTAAATAGAAACATTTATTTAGTAAATAACCCACACAATACCATTCTAGTCTAGTTAAAAGCTGAACCTCTTTCGCCAACTGAAGCAATATATATTGATTCTGGTAAGTTGCAAAACCCCCAGAGGCACCAATCTACCTTTCTTTTTTCAGAAACCAACTCCACACCTTCAAGCAACTGATTGCACTGCTCTTTCAAAGCTGTCTTCTGCTGATGATGCACGCTTAACCAGAATGTGTAAGTTTCAATTGGCTGCATTCATATTAATCATTGCAGGTTAAGGATTGGGGCATTTTCAATTATAATAATCAATCATGAATGCGGCAACTCAGTTGAGATCTAGAGCATTAACATTGGAAAAGTAAGATGTCTCTCTGCATAGTGTGACCGGTGCATCTTAATGAATATTTGCACATTCAGCGCATGCCTGAAAGCAGAGAGCAAAATGACTTCATCAGATGTATGATGCATAAGAGCTTCCGATTTGCCTTGTATATGTATAAACTACTCGGTTTTTTGCTTTAGCGGTTAAAATAGTCACTATAAGGAACCTAGGCCTTTCAAAGAACTAGCATGGAGGAACATATTTTTTAGTGGAATCGGAAATCAGCTCCTGATTCGCATCTGTAAGTATATTTGCAAGAAAAAAAGTATGACTGCTCCATTTCAGGTGGACTGAAAGCAAACTATAGCATTACTACTCCAAAGGTTATGTATTACTCGGCCAGAGGACCCGACCCAGAAGACAGTTTTCTAGATGATGCAGACATAATGAAACCTAACTTGATTGCTCCTGGAAATATGATATGGGCTGCCTGGAGTTCGCTTGGCACGGATTCCGTTGAATTCCAAGGTATTAAAATAGAGAAGTAATGGATAGTTGAGTTAAAATTCTATATAAGCAGAGCATTATTCTTAAACAATTAACTTGAATTCTTAGGTGAAAGCTTTGCAATGATGTCTGGAACAAGCATGGTCGCTTCCCATATTGCTGGTCTCGCTGCACTGATAAAACAAAAGTTTCCTCATTTTAGTCCTGCAGCCATTGCATCTGCACTCTCTACAACAGCTACGCTTTATGACAATAGCGGTGGCCCCATAATGGCCCAGCGAGCTTATGCTAATCCTAATGTAAACCAGTCTCCGGCAACACCGTTCGACATGGGGAGTGGTTTTGTGAATGCTACTTCAGCTCTTGATCCTGGTCTGATCTTAGATTCGAGTAAGGCATTCTGCTTTGGTAAATAACTTTTTCTACAAGACATTCTGCAGTAGTTGTGTGCATCTCATTATATACTTTCTTATTGCATCTTATGATGATTATATGTCTTTTCTTTGCGGCATCAATGGTTCTGGTCCAGTGGTCTTGAATTACACCGGTCAAGACCGTTGGGCCTATAATTCCACGGTTGGTAGTGCTGACCTGAACCTGCCATCCATTACCATTGCTAGATTGAACCAGTCTAAAACAGTTGAAAAAACAGTGTCTAACATTGCTGGGAATGAAACGTACAGAATCGGTTGGAGTGCTCCGTATGGAGTGTCGGTGAAGGTGACTCCAGCTCATTTCTTTATCGGCATGGAAGAGAAGCAGGTCTTGACAATACTCTTTAATGCAACAATGAACCACTCAGCGACTAGCTTTGGGAGGACTGGACTTTTTGGTGACCAAGGTCATAAGCTCCACATTCCATTATCGGTCATTGTAAAATTTTCTTACGACACCACCAACAGCTGAGGGTCGATTTTAGTGTTGGACTGGATTGTTAGTTTTCTTCTTTTCAGCTTCTGCTGATTTTTTTCATTCGTTTGGCATGTAAATGAGTAAAATCAAATTGTAATCTAGAAATAAAAGGATTAAATAATTTGTAGTGCATCATTTAGCCCACTTTATCCATCCTTTTTGCTTCTCTCTTTTCCTTTTTACAAACTCCTTGAAATAATGTCACAGCCAATGTATAAGGAATCAGAATATTTGTCATTTGATGAACAAAAGTGATTGAATCAGCTAAGCAATAATCACATACAGCTTATCTCACCTATAATAACATAAGTACACTCCTTTGATATATATTAGTTCTTCCCTCTGTCTTTTTGTTCACATTTACAGTCCTTTTCAGCATCAAAGAATGAATGGCATGAAGTTTCGATTGGTCTCAAGGTCCTCTCATTTTCTCAACAATGTGCCTACCCCTTTCTTCAATGTGACGCTTCTTCTCTTCAAGTTTCTCTCCCATTTTCTTCGTTAAATCCATCACCCTTGCCCTCCTCCCCGTCTTCTTTGGCCTTGAATCATTGTCGTCGCCAACATCACTCTTCCATTCAGACTCAGTCAAAGACCTAGATACCGACACAGAATCTGAAGTTTCCTCTCTATTCTGCTGGTGTGTTTCATGTGGTTCATCAGTTGCAAGAAGGGGGGTTCTTAAATCTTGCAAAGACCTACTCTTTCCTGACGAACTTGATGACAGCATGGCTTCAGAATCGGTGACTGGTTCCTGAGAGGAATCCTCCTTTGGCTTTGGATTCTTGCTCTCTGGATGAGAGCTCGAGGTTTTCCTGCAATTTTCCTTTGCTTCAATGTTATTATCCGTAGCTGCCTCTTGATTTAGCCATATAAATGGGGCATCTTTCCTTGGGACCCAATCATCTTTTTCTGCTAACATGAAAGGAATGCATGCACTCTCACAGTTTGGAAGCACCATAGTTTCCCGTATAGCCGCCTGCACAAATGATGGAAGCATTGGATGTAAGTTCACTTGATCAGTTTCTTTCATTGTATTGATGCCAAAATTTCTTTCATTATGTGTTGTCAATGGATGAAGCAAAGATTGAAAGGTAGTTCTAGTATCAGACCAGATAATAGATCCATATCTTAAAGGGAAAAATACTTGAATAGGCTTAGGTGGGCTTGTAAGAAGATGTATTTAATTAGACCAAATAATATAAATAATTGAAAGGGAAATTTTAGCCAACAAAATTTTTAGTCATATGGAGCATCAAGAATCATATCATCTTCAGTCCTAAGATCCCAAAATGTCCAATAACATAGTAGAAAAATACCAATGGTTCCAACTTCCAAGAAATTATAAATGTGGAGAAAACACCCGAATTAAAAGAAGATAAAGTGAATTCACCACAAATGTTCCTATTTTTCAAGAAGAGTGTATTAGGGCAAAAGGAGAATGAAAAAGCAGTTCATAAAATTCAGTGAACAAGTTCAAACCTTTCCCTTTTATTACAAGTTAAAAGTCAACTCAGTAGACAAAAGCGCTTTAAAACCAAATAAAATTACATTAAATAAATATAAAACTTGGGTCACGCCTTTCAACTTTTGTTTGTTTCACATGGGTTTTGTTCTTTTAAAGACGCCCATTTTTACTCTTACATATAGTTGGTGTGCCAAAATTATAGTGTATGCCGTCACAGGATTATCAACGCTTCATGCAGAAATTTTAAATAAGCAATCCAAAGAATAAAAATGAAATATTAGGAAATATGTTTTTCAACAAACAAAAGGTTTAATACCTTAAACCGACTGATCAAGAATAAAGCAATATGTTCACTAGTTATCTTGTATTCCCCAACAGAAGACTCAAGATCAAACTCTATATCAGGCATGGACGTGAAGCCAAACCATAACTGATCAGAAGGTGGTGGCTTTATATATAACCGTAGTGTTCCTCGAAGGGATGCAACCCTTATCGATAAAGACAAAGGCACCTGCACTTGAAAATACAGGTTATGTTTGATCCTCAAATACTAAGTTGAACGTATTTCAATTGGCTACTTTAATATTCCCTTCTTTTTTTTAATTTGCTGGATCTTAAACTATCTGTTTTACATGAATACCTTCTAACCCTTTAATGCCATTTTTATGTTCTTCTAAGCAGAAACACCTATCTGCATAAAGAGGACTATACACAAACCTGTGAAACCTGTTTGGTTACGGAATTTACAACAGACTTCCATCGAGATGCATAACTTGTTGTTGGTGTAGCATGACTGCCTTTTAGACCATCTGAAATCCAGGAGAGTGAAATCAAAAGATAAAAAAAGTAACCTTTTACCCTGGTCAAATTAACAGAAAGAAGAAAATACAAGCAAAGGATCAACTAAGTTATACTAAGATGAATTAGGTGAGGCTACAGAAAGAGATGCATTTGACAGAGAAGCCATTGCAGTAAAAGTTCATCTACTTCTTCTGATTTGGAGTCAAGACATCAAACATGGCAACACCGGGACAAGGATTTGGAGTCAGCAAGGCTTTCCATTTAGAAATTTCTTCAACTTCTGATTTATATTACTTTCTACAGAGGCTGCTACTTTTGATCTTCACCAGTGTGTGTCCAAGTGCTTTTAAGATAAATAGAAATCCACATTTTTTACAATTATGTCACAATTAAACAACTAACAAAACACAATTATGCATCATGCAGATATTTTCGGCCAAGTTGATGGATATGTATATAAAAATTAACTATCATTTTTATACTAACCAAATTTAGGGTCGACCTCATCCTTTTCGGGAAGATTCAAATGCTTTCCAAAATGCTCAAAGCCTTCAAGAAGGTCTGAAGAGCTATTCTCAGCAGAATTTGATTCTGAATTCGAGACCACTAGGCCTTTTTGAAAATCCTGGTCACTAACTTCAAGTCTGGTCTCAACATCTAACAGAATTCCACCAGAATATTCAGCATCAACTTCGAATGCCCATACTTCATTCATGTCTGTAGGAAGAAGCCTCATTGCATGGATATAAGGTGGGAGGTTTCCAATGTCTAAATCAGTACAGATGACTTCACCAATGTAACTAGGGGTCCTCATATTGGACAATGTTCTCTGGTACATCAAATCATAAAAATAATCAAAAAAACACCTTTGATGTGCATTCAGATATGTTTTCAAAAGAACTAATTACATGAACACCTAGAAGGCAAAATGACCATTGAATGTCTAAATCAAAACACCGACACAGTAAAAGTACACAAAAATGTAGTCTACATAAACACCAAAATACTGGCTAAAACCAAAATTTTGTAGGTAATTGTACTAACGAAGGAGATGTTGAATAAAGAAGCTCATAATAAACTGCTTGAAACAAAAAAATATATAATTTTTCTTTTCCCTTGTTTTGGCTGGAAAACAAATCGGAAGTCAAAGTGCAATCTTTTGATAACAAATGACATGAACAGGCAATATCAAGCACAAAAAGAAAAAGAAAGTATAGTTCTGGTGACCATCCAACCTGAATCCGTGCTAGAATAGAACTTTTCAACCCTGCACTTCCTTTGATATCAAAAAAGATTCGAGAAATTAACAAGTTCCAGCAGAGCGTCCCTTCATCAAAACTAAACTTGTCTACTTCTGAATCAGCATCAGAAGCAACAGAAGCACTTTGACTAACTGTACGAGGAAAACCTTGCGGTAATGGAAGTGTCATATTTTCATCGGTTGAACTATTTGGTACTTTTTTTGGCACTGAATCTTGGAATGGACGCTGTTTCTCACAAATCTTTCTATTTTCACGGGCAATTTGAGATGTCCATATTCCCTTATTTTCCTTACCAGGCTTGGCCTTTTTGGAAAGTTTTCTCCAAAATAACCTAACTTTTGATGAAGAACCATAAAATTTACCTCCCTTGTCCATTGGCTCAGCACTGAAACCTAAGGAGGGTTTCATAAAAGATGGATATCCCGCATTTAAAGATGCCAAGTAAGCACGGAAGTCTTCATTCAACTTAGCAAACCATCTCATCTTTTCTTTATCCTCAAATGAAGCAAGCCGAAGAGATTGACACCATGATTCCTTCACCCAAGAAGTCTCCAGATAAAGGTAAATGGTTTTACTTCCATTGTAGATGGATGAAGTGTTGCTTTCCACTCTTATTGGGAATCTCTTGGTCCTATCAAAACATTCATACAAAGGCAAATGAATGAAGCAAAGACAAATATTTTGAAAGTGCATAACTTAGACCAACTTTGATTAGGCTATATATATCATATCAAAATTGTATTGTAAGACCCCAAGGCAACAAACCAAGTACGACATCTATATGCTTAATACTTAAGAACTACAAAAGCTTGATTGAAAGTTGAACTTACAACTTTAAGCAAAAAGATGGGACATATAGGCTTGAAAGTTGAGACTTAAGTGAGAATCATCGTCGTAAATATATGAACACTAGAAAATGAAGCATGAAAGGGGGAGAATACCATTTTCTTGAGGGTAAATTGGTAGCGGAAACAGCCTCAATGATGCAGCCCTGAAGGGGAATAGTAGTGCGGGAAGCATCAGAATGTATGAAAACCAAGTTGTTTTCCACGATTTTAGCATGTTTTCGGGTAGGTGAAACCTCCAAGGGCGAGTCCTTTTTTCGCTTCTGCTCTTTGGGTGTTGGAGCTTTTTCTGATTCAAGAACCCAGACAGTCCCCTAACACGTCACAAGACGCGAGCAATGTTCAAATATAAGCAAGAAAAGAAACGAAAGATGAGAGCAAGAACACAAACCTGCTTGTTGTAAGCGAAATCGAGGGGAGGCTGGGACGTGGGATTCGAGGCAGCAAGAGATTCTCGTTTGATCCTTCGATTCAATCGATTTAACACCAACAACAATCCCGTCACTTCCAGACTCACAGTTACCATCACTCCAACAACCAACCCAACTAAGAACACACTCCACATCTTTCATTTGAGCCGATTCAGCTACTGGAGAAAACCAACGGGGACAGACACTATTACCGTTTTTTCTTTTCTTTGCTTGTTATTCCCTTTTTCTTTCTTGCGTACGCGGTAACTTGTTTTAATAAGTACTCAAAACTAAACTCCCTTTAAATTAAATTCCTAAGGAATTTGCTTTTTCATATTCTCTCTTGCCGATGGATCCATTAACACAAACTTCTATCTTAAATGGATAATATTCCCTTAATAATATTTTCTAAGTTATTATATACTCCCATAAAAATTTGTCACTCAACTTTTTAAAAATTCAATTTTTTTATATAATTATTTTAAATAATCAAAATTTTATAAAATATATATTTAAAAACTATTTAATTGAAATTTTTAAAAAATATAATTTTACATATTTTTATCCATAATAAATTTCAAATAATAACTTATCAAAGTTTAAAAAAATTGATAAAAAAATCAATAATAAATATATTTTATGGAACAAAAGAAGTATATATATATATATATATATATTACTTTTTTTTACTAAACATATTTTCGTGACTAAAATGTTATACATTCATTTAAAAAAAATTAAAAATTTACTCCTCTAATATAAACTCATACCCCATGCCTCTGACCTAATCTCAACCGCCCTTCACCTGTCATCCAAGCTAGCCAACCGAATTAATCATCACATCAGCCATACAACCATCCTTGCGTGGTACATACAACGACGAAGATAGTGGCTTATGCTTCATGCTGATAACATACTTAAAAGTTTTAATTAACCTAATTTAAATAGGAAAAAAAAGGGTTCACTTCAAACTTTTATGGATATTCGAAAATCAAAATTTTCATTTGAAAGTATTAATGGTGAAGAGGCCCTCTTCGGGGCGAGGAAGAACATATTTTAATTTAAATTTCATCTAACGAAAATCATAGAGTGAAAAATTAAAACGTTGAACATTAAGTTGATACAAGGAAATGTATACACATTTACTATAATGGAGTACGGACATACAAACTCGACGTATGACCTTATGTGGTCTATCCAATTCAAATTCCTAAAGCCTTCGGGTGCCTGTAGTGCAACAATATCGATATACGTCAAAATAATAGATCAAGGTTTGCTTGGTTATTAAAAAAATAATATAATTTAATCATTTAGCCGTGCAATCAGAGGTTTGCATTTGGGGAAGCATAGCCAAGCAATGTCACGGGTATACAAACGGAGAGAAACATGAATATCATAAATCCAAAAACAGAGAGGAGTTGAGCTAAAGCAGAGAAGGCAGAGCAATACTTGATAAACATTCAGTCGGCTCTCGTAGCTAAACTACATACATGTGAACGTTATTTCACTTTCGCAAATCATATCATATCGTATACGACGATAAACATAAATGACACTTTCAATCTCCCGTACACAATGTACATCATCACATTTCCCTACCTCATCATGGAAAAATGTTAATGATTTCCATTTTCAACACGATATACACAACTAATTGCCCTGCAATAATAACCACGTTGGTCTGCATTCTCCCCGAATGAAATCCGAAATTAACAATAAAAACCATCATCGAATCATTTTTTGTCCGTCGTTACGCCGACCACCACATTGCTCACCTGCAATATCATGATTTTTTTGTCAGGCGTCCCTTTTTCTTCCACGACCATGTTGCAACTTTCTATATAATAAAAATTCACGACATTGAAGAACACATAAAGTAGATATATGCAGTTAAACTATATTTACCAATTTGCCACTCTCATCAACAGACATGGGATTCTCAACGACAACCGTTTGGCTCTGAGATGAGGCATTGGTCAAAAGGTTAGATTCAGGTAAGACCGTAAGAGTCAATAACCTGAAACCATCTACAATTTAAAGTAAAAAACAAACTTCAATAACTTACTGCCGAAGTAGATGGTTTAGTCCCTGTGGCATTCGGTCTGCTTGCTGGAAGCGGAATCCTTGCATTGCTCATCTGAAACATAGATAAGAAATAGAATGAGCAGAGGTAAACCAAAAAATAGAGGTTCTCTAGACGTTAATGCATTTACCATGTCTCACACAACGTCTCCGGTGCTCAAAAATATTGTCGCATGGACATAATAAGTAGATAAATAAGTACTCATATTTCTAACTAAATACAATGCAATTCACTTTCGGAAGGGATAACATACCAGAAAAAATAGCTTACAAGAATCAACAGCATGAAAAATTTGACAAAGTGCAGTCATTGTCAAAGAAATACTAATAAGTTTGAACTATTGCTTGGCATGGGTACCAACTAAAACATCCCAATCCATTCCCGGACCAAAAAAGACTCAACAGGTAAACTCACCCAACATCTGTTTCAAGAGAGGGAACTGGTCCTAATTGATTCTGACCAGAACCAACCAATAACTACGCTGGGGAAAGTAAGGCCAAGTTTGAGAGATATTGCCACCAAGTTGAATTACACAAGACCCATAAACAAGAAAACATAAGAAGCTCGCAACAACCGGATGCAAACCTAATAAATGCATATACGTTCAGAAATAGACCAAATATATTCAGAGATGTTGTGAAGAATTTAAAGATTTTGAGATTAAAAAAATCATGACCTTGCATCAGAAAACATGCAATAATATATGAATTGAAAAATGAAAACTATCATGCAATTTAAAAATTAATGTGGCCCTCTTCTAGCCTCTCGTGAAACGCAAGTAAATCCTAAATCTCTGCAAATTCTTCGAAATATGTTCAATATTAATCAGACACACTAATAAAAAGCTGTATCAATTCAATCATAAACTTACGCCGACATTAGTAACATATTGACAGACAGCACATTTGACTGATGGAGCTCCATACGGATACATTAGAGTTGTATGGCAGTGCCCACAGTTGATATGAGATATCTGATTCGATGGTGCTTTTTCATGGTAATGAGATCCAAGAAAAGAAAAGGCAAAAAAAGGTCAGCAAACAAGCTTGAGACCATGAAATTGAAAGAAGGGAAGAAATATGAATAACATTTAGTACAAACTACTGCCAAGCAGCCCGGAAATGCACCGATAAAAGGTTGAATGAGGAACCAAAGAAGAAAATACACTATGGTTCCTACTCCATTCCAAAGTTCATAGAAGATATACAACTTCAGGTATGCTGACATTCTTTCGAAATAAAAATTCCACTTTGAGCAAGAAGGGAACCAAAGTCCAAAGTGATCAGGCTGCTTTCTATAAAGAAGCATATTAAGATCATCTATTTAATGAAACATCTCAAATGCCACAAACACAGCCTAAACGTGGATGCCACATGAAAAAAAAAACAAAGCCACACATGAAAACTGCAGTGGCATGCTAAAAAAATTATAATTTGAATGGAACAGCTAATAATCCAGATGCCAGACAAAGTTTCGAAACATTTTAAGATCATTAACTACTAAGTAGCTCAGACTGCTCGTAAAAGAAAATGATAATATAAAACAGTAGAAAAAGCATCCATGTGGAACGCATTGTGACACAAAATACAGGATGGGGAAGCGCTAATCAGAGAACTGAAATCCTACTTTCTCTAAAAAAAAATTTAAGACACATTCTTAAACCAGCTTATATTGCCTAAAAGGTAAAACGATCAACCCACACACATTAAGCTTTCATCAAAGTCCAAAAAAGACTTTCCATTTAATAGCAACAATCTTGCACTGCCAAACATTATAACCACAAATTTAAATCATTTACACAAACCAGTATATTATACCTGTTGCAAGGTTAACGGTGTTACAGCAAGAACATCTTACACTTGTTGCTCCACGTGTATACATTAGCAATGTTCGACACCCCCCACATATGAGTTGGGCCATTTCCATCCCTGCAGGGTTTATTTAAAAGCTTGTATTAGCAAGCCATGAAATTCTTACTGGATATTGAACTTATTATGTTGACATATCCAGATAAGAGGAATGTTACTGGCCACTCTACATTATCGTTTTCTTTGCCTTAAATTAATCTCTTATATCCGCAGAATTTTCTATATAACACCACAACCGTTAATAGCATTACCAGATAGTTTCATAGTATAAATCAATCAAGGCAATCAAATAAAAAAAATAAAAAAGACAACACGTTCAAAAATAAAATACAGTAGCATTGCAATCAGAAATCTGTTATTATCACCCTGTAATTAAAGAATGCCATCATTGATCTTACCAAATTGTTCTTAAAAAGCCCTTTAGATATTAGGATCCAAAATCCAGTTGCACATTGATGTCTACGTACAAGAAGAAAGGAAGTTAATATTGCCAAAATGCCCAAAAGTTGTGGGTAAAAACCTTTACATGGGTGGGCTAACAATCAAACCAAGTTGAATAGTAGATCTCAGCAGCTTGCCAAGATGAAATCATGTTCCAACAGATCTAATGGAGTATGGTTTTGGGATCATAAAACCATTGTTATCTAGCTTATACAAAACCAAGTTCACATAAAGAAGCAGCTATGGAAGAAATAAACTCTACAATGAACGGACTTGTGTCCAACCAAAAATATTTTCAACAATTACCCAATAACAGAACATTGATACATCAAAAGCAAATAGCAGTAACTTCTCACCGACAAGCAGTAACAAGTTAGATTTTACTATGTTTTGTTATCAAGTTGAATTGAATTTAGTGGAATCTATGCTTCACTCCAAAAGTTAAGTCAGATTACCGAACGATACTAAATAGGGGTATATATTGCATGTTAGCTTGTACAATATTGTATTGGGTTTGAAATTCTTAATGAGTTAGCAGCTTGGGCACCAAATCCACCCAAATCCAATCACAGCTATTAGAACTTTAGCAAAGAAAAACATTATGTGCCTTCTGGGATTTGCTTTGCTTTGCTTTGCTATTTTTTTTCTTTCTTTTTTAATAAGAATTGAAGGCCTCATTAAAAACCCCCTTCATGATTAAGGAACTCAAAATGATTTCCTTGATCAGAGGAATGAGGAAAAAAGTGCCTTATACTTCATTAATAATAAAGATACATAAGATTTAATACAATAAGATAAAATCCTTACAAACAACCCAAAATAAAATACCCCTATAAATCAC